AATGTGAAAACATTTCGCAACGAGCTTTGTCAGGGACAAATCAAGAGACAAAATAGTATTTTTGAAACCCACCTTCAATGTTAGCAGATGCCTCAAGAGACTTGGACATCTCCAGTCTGTTCCGCACAAGTTTGGAAGAGAACGATGTTTCACAGGACACGTCAGGTACAACAACCAAGCCTTCCGGGACGCTGTAACGACAGTCAGAAGTCTGCTTTGCAGAAGTGTAGTCTGTCATGAATATTGGGTGAGTGAAGCCGGGATCGTGGCCTGTTGCCAGTGGATAGCCCTTTAAAACGTCATAGCCAAAGAGGGCGTAATCAAGATCCGGAAAGGATCGCTTCCAGTGAGGATTTTGGCATTCTTGAAGCAGATTGTCTAGCCGTACTCCTAATATGGGTAAGGTAATTATGTGGGAATCACTTCGTAGCTTCTATCTTTTCCTTGTCCAAGAATAGATTTGGACCTTCGAGGGGTCAGTAAACAATTTTTATGAGCAAGAAAAACAAGCGCAAATGTCTTTTTCCAGTCAAGTAGCTAATTTAACTTTTTGGCTCATTTAATTAGATTCATTCTCTGTGACAACAGAGATTTTATGGGATTTGAGTAGATGAAAGTAAGGTAATGCTTTCCGTAAGAATTAAAATTTCCAAATTTTAGTCTTCTTCATTACTATGTGTTTAAGGGGTTCCTAGAATCTCGTGGAGTTTTAAACACGCAACTGAATTAAATGTACATTTTTTCATATGCTTAAATGATTATTCAACAATAATGCCCTCTTCGGGGATTAATTGTTGAATAAACGTTTTCACTCTTTCGAAGTTTTCTTTTATTCCATTCACGTTCTTACCGAAGTCTAAAGATGCTTTCCCGTCTTTTCCTTGTGCCAACGGCATCTGTAAATTGAGCGACTTACTCTGAGCCGATTGAGATGATTCATTCAGACCAGAAGAGTTACTATAAATTGAACAACAGCAACAAAAGCGGTAAATTTGGCACACGACACTCCAAGTACGTGCAGGGAGCTACAGTTCTAGGGTATTCCCATCCTCCACACCCAGACCGCACCGCGAAATTTGATTTAAATTATTTTCTCTGTTTCTATTCTCTCCTCCAGTCTGGAGGCAAATAGAGTTTTCATGTAATTAAAAGAGCTTTAATCGCCTAATTCTGACGACCTACAGTCGCGTCACAACAAGGACTACTTGGCTGCACATCTAATCTCAGTATAGGTGTTTATATATACTTCAGGAGACTTTCATTAACTAATTTTTCCCTAGTAATGAATTAAGAAGTGAATCGAAATCGATTTTTACTGTCTATGGTTCCCTTTTCATAATTCGCTCGGAAGTATGCCAAATTTGCAACACTATTTGATTGAAGTGGCTTTAGAAATATCTAACATGCCGTTACCGCCAGTCACAGCTATTTAGGAGTAGAGAGTATCTGTACCATGTGTTCTTTACGTGTTTTACAAGCATCCTACCTTTGAGATTGGGAGGCATACACGAATGTTATTAGCACAGCCACAGCTATAACCAGTATCACGAAAATTGCTGATTTCCATTTCTTCCTTACTAGATTCTGGAAAACAACCGGAAAGTGGGAAGAGATTCATTTAATTTACTATATAATCCCGTGCTCCTGCACTTGAAAATACAAGGAGGTAGATTTTCCTAAACTGTGATTTGTTGCTTTGTTTTGGTCTCATTACCTTTCCTGGTGGATGATACTGGAAAGTTGAAGGAACAAACCATAAGTTTCCAGGTTTCAGAGAATTCATTAGAAGAACCGTAGAGTCACATATCTATATATATTTGAATTGAAGCATGGTACCATGGCTTGGTTGATATATGTATATGAGAAAAACATTATAGACTTCGAAAGGCACCAATATTATATACTTTGGTAGTTAACGTTTCGCCGGTTAGGGCTTCATCAGCACAAAGATAATAAAAAAATGAATTATTTTATCATTATTGCTAACCATTATTTTGATGAGGGAAATGCGTTCGTGTAGGTGACAATAAGGTTTGGAGCAGGTTGTGCCGGCTTTAGTCTTTCTATCTAGGGGCTAACTTTTAAAGTCCACAAAACACTTGATCACATTTAAAAGACTCTTAAAAGGAGTCAAGAGTCCTCCGGCATGAAAATCATTGAATCAATTCAATCATTCAAATGAAAGAAGATCTATGATCGTGCATATTTCCACGCGAGTTACAGCTGCACCAACCTTAGACTTCCGATAAAGAGTTGGATTATCCACTCCGCCAATCTGACTCTGTAAGGCCTCAATCTGTCTCTCTTGTGATTCCACAGTACGCGAGGTTTTGTCCACCTCGTCTTTCAATGCGATGTTTTCCATGTAGCGGGCTGCTGGACCCTGATTTAAATGAGTGGAACAAACGTATTTACCTTAAGCAAGAGAAAACTATCCCTATGACCCCTTTAGATTGCCCAGCGTCTAATTGCTCCTTACAAAATCACCCCTGAGTCAAACATTCACGAGAATAAAGGAAATTATCACCCACTAAGGAAGCTCTTGATTGTCAATCAAATTCTCCTTGTCATGGTAAAGAACAATAAGGAGAATATACATACTGATGTTACAGTGTAAAGGGTTAAACCGTTAAAACCATTACAGGAATTTTGCCTTTTAGTTTTATACGGACGCTAAAGTTAGTTTCACCAGACGTGCGTGCTGCAAACTGTCGCCTAAAAAAAAACATTTCCCTCTGTACAGAAAATCGAGATCGCAAAGTCTCATCCCGTATTACCAAATAAAAATCAAGGCGGCAAGTTTCTAAAGAAACTGTGGTGCTGCGTCGGTGAGAGATATATGCAATATAATTTGGTTTTATTAACTGAATTGATTGAGTAAATTGGCCACCGTAAAGAGTTTCTAAAACTGACGTTTCGAGCGGTAGCGTCGAAGCGAATGCTGAAGGCCCCTGACGAAGGGCTGAAGCTCGAAACGTCAACTTAAAAAAACTCTTTACTGTGGCTCATTCACATTATCAACGCGGTTTATAAAACTAACTTATCAAATAAAAAATAATTTGACAGCAGCTCTAATAATCTCAGCTGGAGTTTATAGCCCATTATAAAGGCTTGGATATAAATATATTAATCAGATGATGCGTATTATACAAGATTTAGTGGATTTCTGATACAACCAAACTTCTAAGAAGCAGTCCTCGGCTTCAAAAGAGAATGGAAAACACTATAACGGACGTAAATTTTTCACTCACTTTTCTACATAACAGGCGAACAAGAATTTCTGAATTGGCCATATCAACTGAAGAGCACCTACGACCAATCCTAGGTCATTAGGTTCAAGTTCTTCAACAATAACTCTACCCGACGCGGGGTTGATTTGCATAGCGAAGTTGTTGACATAAGTTCGCTTTAACCTTCCATGAGTGAAATTAAAGAAAAAAAAACAACAAACTATACGCTGGATGGATGCTGAAGACATTAGAAACCTTTACCAAGGCTGCATGTTTCACATGTAAGTACCTCTATGTATTTCCATGGGATTTCGTTATGATCTCGCCTTGGTGTGACTTTGAAATGATCAGCGATAAGATTTCACCGATAGTGAAAGTCGCTGTAACTGTAAACAAACGGTATGTCTAGAAATTCTATACCATAAATGCTCCAATCTGAAGGCAACAAGTTGCTTATCAGTCGATGAGAATTATCACTTGTTGTACAGCGCTAGTAATGGTTGAGATAATTAGCAACTGTTTTGTTTGAAGCATCTCAAATGGGCGTCGGTATCTATTCAATCTATGTTATATCGACAATAGTTGTCCATTATCTACTGAAATCAAGATTAATTGCTCAACCCTAAATTCAGAGATGTGTTATGCATAAAGTGAGCCCGCTTTTAGTTGCATACCTACCTTACTCATGATTCAGGCCACTTTCAAACTCTCCTATGATTTTGGTCTTCAAGCCGTAGCTATTGCGCTAACAAGAATCTAGGCTAGAATAGATTTACCCGGAGTGACCGACACTACAAATGGTCATGGGTGGAGTTTCTTAGAAATACGGAAGCCGTGATGATGCAATGGGACTTTCCCTATGATTGCTCGTTAACAAATCAGCTCATATCTCAACCACTGAGTCAGGAATAACTAGATGACGCACTTTTCTTTCCGCATTCTCATCTAATGACATAACATCAGAGACATATTGATAGGCTGAGGGCCCAATTTAATTTCCGCTTCAGGCTATGGTGGATTCTTGGAACTGAAACGGATGGATATTCAAAATGTTTTTCTTCTGATAAAAATTTGGTGACTTGAACGATGCTAGTGACTCATAACTGTTAAGTGAACCTTTATATAAAACAGCAGACAAAAAAACATGAGTGCAGATTCGAGGAGTCAAACGTGACACCTTAAATATAATTTCGTGATGAAACTGTCTGAGAAAAGATATTTGATAGGATGAAAGTCTGAAATAATTGTAAAAAAATCTTCGGAGCGAAAATAAATTAATTTACGGACGCACCGCGTCCGACCGTTAACGTTGTGTGCTTATTAATTTTTTGTTCAGCTTAAAAACGTATCCCCGAAAAAAACTGGCAGGCCCTGATTAAAAACAACAACAGTCGATCTCATTGCTTGTCAGTTTGTGGTAGCAGGCAAATGTGAGGTTAAAATGACTTCATATTGGCACATATATGATATTTCGTTTTTTTATGCACCGATAATAAGTTATAAGACACATGCTAAAACATGAGTAGTGAATACCATGCAGAGCGATTCCACAATTCCGTCCTAGTCAAATGCGCTACTGTTTTTGCTCTAAGTGTGCATTTTTTCGGTTAAACCTTTCCCTGATTGTGCGACATTTCGTTGACAGATAGCCTAAAATAGCTAATTTCTGAAGTCATTGTTAAAATTCGTATTTTCAGACCCTAAAACATTTTTTTCAATTTAACTTAGACTTGGTTTTTACCTAGAGCATTATGTAGGAGGCCAAGCGTTCAAGTTAGCCGTAAATGTGGTTCAGAAAACGCCTCTCATACCTATTGTAAATTAAAACAGCAACATTTCTCCTATTATCATCCCTATTGAAGATCAATTATTTTATGATCTAAGAAATTAAAACAGTTTTGTTTTCCTGTGTCTTCCCCAACGTGGTCCGAAGAAATAAACTGAAAACTGATCAACAAGCATTTTAATTTATTCGGTTTTCGTCGTGGGGTTATCATTGGAATGCCTTATCTTCCATCTTATGGGCTTTCTTTAGACGAATCTTCAGGCCCCGGTTGTTCCAAGGGTGTAACGCTATGCGCAGGAGAAATTTATATCTGGTGAATAGCGCAATAAGTTGTGTTAACACTTATTTACTGGATAGTGATTTATCCGTCTGATAGCTTTATCCGCCATATGAACAACAGGGCCGCGATAAATTGATGGTTAAGCGTTCTTTGTCAAACTTACACATAAACAGAGAAAAACAATGATTCAGAAAAGCAAGGTTTAATAAATCACTGATGTTACAAACATCGTATTTACATCCCCCACCCCCTCCCCGTAATATTAAACAATTACATGGCATTACATAACGGTTTGTGCTCTCTGACCAATCAAGAACACTAAAACATGATAATACAACACACAATGCTATTTCACTCAAACAAGCAAATTTTTTTCTTTTTGGGCATACTCGTGATCTTCGGACATTTTCCGAAGTTAATTTTTTTTCGATCTGCATCCTGTCATTATTATTATTTTACCGAAGGCTTAGAAGAGAATATATTCGGTGCATAAATACAATGTTACTCTTTTATTCTCACAGACATTACCTCAGCAAACAGGTTTTACCCTACCAAATAGGTTTTACCCTAGTAAACAGGTTTTACCCTAACAAGCAGGTTCAAGTTTAGCCTAGCAAACAGGTTTTAGCCTAGCAAACAGGTTTTTCGTAAACGCTCCTAGAATCTCTCTAATCATCAGCATCCATTTTCAAAGAAATTCACGTAATCAGCTCAAAAGACTGGACGGATTTATTCCTTCGCTACTTGTAATCTGGTTTCAATTGGAGAAACAAAACCATGCCTTTTTTCTTCAGTATATGTTGTGCTCTTAAGATAAACAATTAGCTATTTGAGGTGAGACGCCGTTTGGGTTTAAGTGATTTGGAGCCCTACGGAATATAAGCTTTGATGTACCTCCTCTTAATTGTGACATTCGTGTGATGTAAATTATAGGATTTATTATAGAATTGAGAATCAAAATTGTCATTGTTGCCATAACAACATCAAAAAATGACTGGAGTGAAAGGCTTATAATAAGGTCCGAAAAATTGATATCTCCCCAATACACTAACCTCGGCATGAAAGTTAACAATGATGCAAGGGTAGCAATGAACAGTGTTGTGGTCAGTTTTCTTTCCCTTAGGCTGGCCGCACCATGGTGTTGAAGATGACGACTGCACCGGATTTTGATGTAAATTGAGACATAACATACAAGTATAACAGAAAGAAGAGAACACAAATATATGAAACGGATTAGGAATGAATGGACCCCAAAATAAAACGCGACACTATACATGGCTGAGGGGATTACCCAATTGACAGATATCATCACTCCATAAACCCATTTCCTTATGAAACGATGCTTGAAAGGACGAAATGTTGCGTGTACTCGTTCTAATGCAATGACCGCGAGGTTATTAAGAGAGATCTGATAAACTCCATGACCCACATATATTTGAAGGGAAGGTAACCAATCGAAATAAGACCTTGACTCCCACAGACGACAGAACTCGCTCCCATACATTTCGATGATCATAGGCCCTACGATCGCCCCCACCAAGAGATCCACTACCCCAAGATGAATGATCAAGTACGTGCTTCTGCTCTGTAGCTGGCGCTGCTTCACAAATACAATAATGGTGATGATATTAAGGATGACTGCGGCCAGACATTCAATGCCGAAGACAGCGAGCCGTGAAATGCAGTGGGAGGCAGAAATTTGCATCCAGTCCGTAGCGTTGGTTTTGTTGTAAGCCATTTACCTTTCCTCAGATATTTGCAATTTACCAAACGACCTATTAATGGAGAAAAATTGTTGAGGATTTTGTATCGATGAAACATTGATACAGTTTTCTACACAGTTTGCTGTGTTTTTTCTTTCTTTTTTAATGTTCCGGGGTTAATACAGCCGCATAGCAGAAAAGAAACATTATTCTTTCTGGAGTGCCTTGCCACAGAGAATAAACAGCGATAGACTTTAACCTAAGACATCTTAAGATTCCATGAAATGATGTCTAAAGATCTGTATTTAGCCAACATTCACGAGGAGTGACTATAAAGGCGCTGCTTTCGTTTTCTACGTTTCTTCTTCAATAGCAAGCATATTTAAAACAAGGACTGAGTGGAAAATTGTCTCTAACCCTTATAAGATAACAAAACATCTAATAGTTTGATAGAAATAGAAAATCGTCATACTTTAAATTTGGTGACTTAAAGCCGGATAAATGGATGCATACGTAAGGATGACAACTTTTCAGCTTGGACAGCCCCCAGTCTTTAGCTTAACGATTGTGATACGAAATGAATTTGTCCCCGAGTGGAACATATCTTAAGGTTCTCTATCTAATTAAAAAAAATGGGAAAAATAACAAGTAAATTACCCTTACACAGGTGAGCAGGAAAGACAAAAAGTTTAGTTAAGAGGAGTCGACCCTCGACGCGATGGATGTTTTAATTTTTTATCGCTCATTTTTTTTCCTTTATTTTCTCTTAAGTATTTTTGCAAACACTTAAAATTTTTAATTAAAATTTCTAATTTTCTTTGAATCATTTGTTATTTTTAGACAAGCCTTTGTTTCAACTTTGAGGTTGTGACCGATGCATCAAAACATTTTCTTTTTATTAACGCTTTTCCATTTGACAGTTGGGAAATCTACATTTTTAATTCATTTAATAATTTGCAATGATATTGTAAGCGTGTCAAACTGTAGCCGGCAAAATAAAGGGTATCATAATGCCGTTAAGCAAACAGTAAGATGGAAAAAAATTAAAAACAAATAAACATTATTGCAAGACTTCCTCTTCTTGGCATTTTCACTGAGTGTAATGAAACCTGATTTTACCTATGCTTTACTCTTCTTTCACTTTTCTTGGATCTGAAGTGGACTCACCTACTGTTATTCCATGGTCTGAAAATTTTATTTCCTTGCCAATACTGAGAGCGAAACAGTATGCATTCGATCCAGTCAATTTTGGTATCTAAGGAGAGTAATTTAGTTTGATTTTAAAACCTTATGTCATCTGTTAATATTGACACCGGTTTGACTGAATTTTTTGACAGCGGTTCCGGCATCGTTCTGTTTGGACAACTTAAAGCCGCCAGTGTATGTAAACATATATATGACCATACATATATATGACCAAATTTGTTGTTTGCAGAACCCACACTAATTTTTCGAGAGAGTATTAAATCCACTTTCACGTATACGTTTATGTTTCATCCAAAATTGAAGTTATGCGCCTGCGCTGGTAGACACTAAGCTATACTGAAAAAGTAGATAATTTAGTGTAAACAACTGAGTTGAAAACGTAAATTGGCCACCGTAAAGAGTGAAAAAAATCTTTCCCGATCCACAACTATGCACAACCGTCTCTACAGATCTGCACACCTGTGTCTAGATACTATTTAAAAAGTTTAAAGCTACTAATTTGTGCGCCTTTTTTGGATGAATTTGGTTGCATATTTGCTGACATACTTCAGTATGGGCCATTGCACATATTTTTCGTAGTTAAACGTCAGTGAGAGTTTGCAAAGAAAAATTGACGCAATCAACTAGTCGTTCAAACTAATTTTCGAACCCGACACTTAATATGAGTCAAATGAAAACTTGAATTTGGAACATACTGAAAGCAAAAATTGCATCGTTTTGTTTGCAGAAACGTTTTAGCTCAAGAAAGCTAAGAATTTTTGAGTAACTTTAAATGAACTAAAGCGAAATGTGACCATGCATTCAAAAGGATTCTTTTACTCTTCATTGAAACAGAAAATCAAATTGTCATTTACATGCATCAAGAGAAAGTTTGTTTCTTGTGATAAATCAAAATGACTTCAGTAATAAGAAACTACATAAGGAAACCACAAAGTTATTGTGGTTATTATTATTAAAACCACAATACTTTCCGACCCAAGTTAAAAATAACTTTTGTGAAATCGACATTCTACTTAAATACTCGCCTTTCATCATATTTTTTGTGTCTTACGTCACCACTTCAATAACCAAAGAAATTACTGAGGGGATATTTGATACTTCCCACCTTTCTTGTCGAGTTAATGCTTTACTTTGAAAACACGCTACTAAAGATCACGCAATGGAATATCCAGGTAGTTAAAGCAAGAATGTGTATAATTCGGACATGTAGACGCGAGCTGGCGGTACTATACGAATCGTGCGATCTGTTGGCGGTATCTCACACCACGGGCACATTTTTTTTCCAATACGGACGTGCCAACTGGTGAATAACATGCATACATTTATAACAGATGCCCAAAGCATGCCATACCTAAAAGTAAGTCAAACAACGCAGGAAGTTTTATCACTTCTCAAAGCTTTTAATGATTTCATTTTACTTTTGACAATCAATGCTCACACAAATGCCCTTTACCAGAATATCACTCTCATCACTAAGTTACATAATGGAATAAACTTCGTTAGCCCATGGTCCGCCTTCCCCATCCTGCTTACAAGACGTGGATTTTCCATATTTGGCGAAGGTCACTGGCGCAGTAGCACTTGATGCACACCAGCCACCATTCTGAACTGCAAACATTTTGTAACCCGCTCTCGTGGCAGCTACGGCGCATTTTGCAATAGCATCTTTTCTATTCCAGTAAAGTCCATCCAGGATAGAATCTTTTCCTTCAAGCGTCTGGATTGCACGTTTAGAGGTGTCTTTATAGCATCCACTGGATTTGTAGCCTAAAGAACAAAGAAAAAATCAACTTCTCTGTTAAGTGGGGGGCAATATCGTAGTCGCCTTTCGGTCTATCTATATCCAGTCGTACCGACTCTAGCGCAGAAATGTAAAAGCAATTACGTTTATTCAAATTAAACTGCGTCCAACCTGAACATCAGTTTTGCCTTAAGTTTCACGAGACCTCCCTTATAACCGAAATCAAAATTAAAAAATGGATAAATAGAACTCAACATTATTGAAAAAATGTTTCCTAACCTCTTATGTGATACACTTGATTAGCCCAAGGTCCACCTTCTCCATCCTGCCTACAAGCAGACGATCTG